TTGCATAATTGAGCCCCCCCCCTTACCACTGGTGTACACATTTATGGCCAAGGATGGGAGGATCGAGGAGAGGAATTTGTAGGATCAGACCCTACATTGAAAGTTCAGTTCAACAGGCTTATAAATATTACTTTCCAGTAAAATTAACACCACTAACATCAGATTGACAAAACCAAGTACCTTGCAGCACCTGAGTGCCACTCAAAGTGTAGCAATAACAAGGGGTTTTACTGCACAAAGAAAACACAGTTGTTTGCACTGACAGCAATAATCTTTGGGAGACTAGAACAGCACAGGTTCAGGAGTGACTGTGCGTGGATTAACTACTGCATTCCTCTTAAATGTCCAGGTCTGTTCTGCAACCGAACCTGGGATGGCTGGTTGTGCTGGGACGACACACCTGCAGGAAGAATCAGTGCTCAAAATTGTCCAGATTATTTTCCAGACTTTGATCCAACTGGTACGGTATTTCTTGTTGTTATCTTATCTTTTGAAGGAAGTCTTCAAAACATTAATGCCATTCAGTGGAAGCATGTTTCCAGTGGCATTTTTGCAGCATTGTGAAATCTCAGAGAGTCTGGCTGAAATGAAAATATATCAAGCTTTTGGGTTGCCTAATTTATATATTTTCACTTCTAAAATATTTTATATGTATTTATATTTGTGTATAACCCATGGATTTATGGAACCTGGTTTATGAAAATATTAACTACTTAGTTATAAAAACATTTTAGTGCCTCATTCTAAGTTTTTATAATTAAGAAAATATGCTTATCTGCATGAAATACGTATCAGCATGTTCTTTGTTCAATTTTTATTGGAAAATACCATTTTATGGAAGAAGATGAGCAGAAATAGTTCTGTAAGTCTGCAAGTTCCAGTTGTTCACTGAATTCTCCATACACATACTAGCAGCCATGAAGACTAAGAGAAGTAATTAAAAAGCATTTAAAAGTACAAATGAAAGGAAATATCAAGGACAGAAATATTGCTAAATAGATACGAGGAAATGTATGTATTTTAAACTCCACAAAGAGTATTGTTTGAAGAAAGACACGGTTGTGTGTTTCACACTCAGGACACTGCTTACAGGTGGTGCTTGATGCCACAGCAGGCTAAATCCAGCACAGACACATTGTACCAATTGCAGTTAAAAATCATGAAATTAAACATTTGGGGGCAGAGGGTATATAAATCTAAAAATTTTCAATGAGGTTAAACCAAAATGTATGTGCCCATCTGGAAAGTAAGGAAACAGACTATTACATAGCTGTGAACTAATTACCCAGTACCACTGGCTAAAACTACTGGTATGGTTGAGCTTGTTGCCTATTTAGAAATAGAGGAGTTTCCAGGCTGGATCAGATCCAGTATGCATTTCGCTGAATCCTATTTGCAGTAGCAGTCAAGTTGATCAATATTTCTGTTCTTTATAAATCAAGCTATCCACAATTAGAGAATTACCTTGCAAGTGGGAAACTTCCAGTCTGAGTGGATTCAAACCTGCATCCTAACTTGGTTGGAATTTTCCAGTGGAAGCAGGCATCGGACAAGACGGACTGAAGGATTTGTGTGCCTGGAAAGTGAGCTCGCGTGGCAATGGGACTGTCCACCTCTTGTGGGAATACCCTAGGACCTAACCTACAAATCTTTACAGCATTTTACATCCCTGAGACACACAATGGGCATAGAATCACAAAGTCTTGTCTTTTGTGACCTTTTTTTGCTTTCTGACACACTTAGTCTTGACCTCTTCTCTGTACAGTGTCAGTTTGCAAGGAGGAGTCTTGCAGCAGTATTTCAGGGCCAGGCTCATGGCTAATCACTGGAGCATTTAGGGGGAGGAGCTGCGACCCTCAACTGGAGGGGTAGGTGTCTTTGACCTAGATCTCACTCTCTGTGGACAAGTCCTTCAACCAATGGCTTTCAGCCATTTGCACAAAAGATGCCAGAAGAGCATTTTAAAAGAATTGGCCAAACTTGGTTCAGTTCCCAAACAGAAATGCCTACGTTCAGGAGAGAGCTTGAGGCTCTGGATCCTGAGGTTGCACAAGCCTTTTCCTACATGCATGTTAGAGATGCCTCTTGGATGGAGTCTGTACCTTCCACTTCAGCCCCCATTTTGTTGATGATATCCTCCCCATGTGGCAATATCCCCTTTGATGAATAAGGACAATTTACTACAAGGCTTCTGCTTTTCCTGCTTCCATGGTTTTCACAGAAAAAAACTGTGGCACTAACAGTCCTAGTTTATGTTTACTCCATGTGCTGCTCAGCTCATACCTGCAAAGGGGGTGTTGGGCAGCCCCGCGATCACAGAAGTCTCCCCATGACTCTAGTCCTCATTCCTCAGTGCATGGGGCTGATGACAGAGCCACTCTCCTGCTTGCTCCCAAGCCACCTACTGCCAGCTTTTCCACATGTCCACTTGTCTCCAGTGACTTGTTCTTAAAATGATTACTCTGCTACAACAGCACTCTTCAAAGTAACACTTGAAGCCATCCATGGAGAAGCACCTGACTCCACTTCTTAATGCTTATTAACACCAAAGTCTGTGGCTTGTATGGTTGGTTGCAAATCACTCCTTAATGTATGGATGCATACTGCAGAGTCTGGCCCACAGCATGTGCATAGTGTGGTTACTCTTTCTCCCATGTTTTAAAACTTGCAGATTTGGGAATTTTTTTAGTGTTCCTGTTCTCTGTACACAGTCATAGGGGAAAAACCTCCTCTAGTAATTAATTTCCTGCTGTTCTCTCTGCTGTCCTGTTTAGGAACAATACCTGTGGTCTCCTGGACTCAGTATTTGGCTCTGGTACGTCTCTCTTCTCCTTGCCAACACCTCTGGCAGTCTCTTTGCCTGCATCCTGCTCAGTCAGCACCATTTCCCTGACTCGATGGCAGCTCAGCATCTCCAGGTTTAGCCAGAGCCACTTTCCTAGAGTAGCTGTGGAGTTCCCCAGCACGTATTACAGCTGCAGCATCAAACCAGCGGGTAGTTAGCCTTTGCTTTACAGGTGGCTGATTGTCACACCGGGACTTAATAAAGGAGAAGGGAGACAAGAAATCGTGGGGGTGGCTAGAAGTCTTTCAACTGCTAATGGAAGTGGCTGCCACTTAGAGGTGGCCAAAAGCACAGGTTCAGCTGTCCTGAGAAGTCTGGCAGGTTTTGTGTCACAAGTCATTATTTCCTTTGGTAACTTATACCTATTAAACAAAATACAGCTAGATTTTCTGCTGAGAAACAGAAAATTCATCCTAAAGAACAATGATTTTACAAGATGAAAACTGCAGAGCCTGTCAGATTTCCTTCCCATTAAGTCTCTGTGATATCAAACCACCTCAGCATGGATTTTAGGCTGCAAGTAACCCCATGGACTGTTGAAACAAGTATTTCACAGTGTGCTGCTTTGGGCTGCACAGAGAACTGCAGAGCCACTGTCTATCAGCTCACTGATGGCTAGGTTACTTTTGGTTGAGGCCATATATAGCAGTGAGTCCTAGAATAAAATTATGTCATACAGCTTTATTTTTGTGCTTTGATACTTACGTCTTTCCTAACTGGAAAAGTGAAATATTATCTGGCAGGGCAAGATTGGAACTTCCTCCCATCTGCTCCTTCAGGTGTTGTATTCCAGCTTTCTATATCTGATCCTCCAACAACATTAAGCATTGATGCCAAGAAGAAATTACTAGAGTATGTTATAAGGTAAATAAGGTTAAATCATATTCTGGAGAAAAGGGCTCAGAGGCAAAATGATGGAGAACATGCTCAGAGTTCCGTTAATTTTGTGTCTAACAACTTCACGACTAACTACCAGATGTAGTGCCATTTATTTCACTGAACTTAACATCAGTTCATACTAGATAGAAATCTGTGCTCTGAAAGAAGGAAGGACTGCTGTGATAATCTAGTCTGTTCAGTTAGCTAGGGCTTCCCACACTTCTTTCCCCACCTGAGGAAGCTCTACCCCGTGAAAGGAAATGAGGATCTAAAAGCTGACAAACAGAAACTTGTCTCTACAAGCTGTGACAACTTTGTCCTTTCCAATAAAAAACTGATGCCTCTTATAGCAATCTCTTTCTCACAATGCCTGTCATACACAATGTGATAATGCATAAAAACAAATCAATTTGTCTGGAAAACATACCGAGACCTACTGCTTTAACTCC